AAAGCTTACACTCAGTACCAACCAACCGAGGGTTACTGCCAGGCTCAAGGGCCAGTGGCTGCAGTGCTGCTGATGAACATGCCTGTTGAAGTAAATGCTTTATATTTAATATTTAATATTAATATCAGTAAAGACACAAAATCATTTTTAAAAAAATGAAAATTTGAGCCAGATCTTATTAAAAAACAAATCAAACAATCAGTTAAATAACCAAGTAATAACACCATTATATATATAGATGTGTGTGTGTGTGTGTGTGTGCTTTAATTTGAATTGAAGTGTTATAACTTTATAGACACCATTTGCACAGAAATTCTCAATAAAACATCTTCCACCATCCTGTGATAGGAGGCCTTCTGGTGTTTGGTGCAGATAAGTGAGCAGTATTTACCTGGATACTACAGCCCCCTGCTGGTGAGGAGGACATAATCATTCCTACATAAACTAAATGTGCATGAAAGAATTCAAGCTGTTTACAATTTGTCTGACATGGTGCAGGAGGGAGTTCTGTTTGATGCTGGCATGCTGGCCTGGGTCCTGAAGAGGGCATGTCCGGCAGCACATAAACATCTGCAGCTCCACGAAGTGGAGCCCCTAATGTTTGCCACTGATTGGTTGATGTGTCTATTCACCCGTCACCTGCCTTTCAACACTCTGCTCCGAGTCTGGGATTTGTTTTTTTGCTACGGTACATCTTTCGTAAAGAATTATAAATATAGTATTCACACATACAGGAACCAAAAACTGCATCTAAAGTATATTACTAATATGATTGCCTGGAAATGCTATACTGTCTATTTCATTACCCAATTAATACCTGTATCATTTATAATTCACATTTTGACCCTTTTCCCTAGTCTGATCTCCCATCGTCTGTCTTGTGAACAGGAGTGAGGGTCCTGCTTCAGGTGGCCGTAGTCCTAGTCCGTCGGGTCTTAGGTCGTGCTGAGCAGAGAAGGCAATGCCAGGGGCAGATGGAGACTCTGGAGAGACTAAGAGGAGTCAAAGCGCAGGTCAATGACGATGATGACGCCTTTATAGCTGAGGTAAAACAACAACCAACCAAACAAATAAAAATGACAGACAGAAAATGTGTTTATCAGATGCCTGTTTTTACTACATCGCACTTGTGACTAGAAAAATAAACCTTAAAAATACCATAACGAATTTTCTCAACAATATAAAACCGTAGGGTGTAATGATAAAAAGATTAAAATCCAATGACTGCTAAAGTAAAACAGTTTGTGGATAAACTAGATGATGAAGATGGTTACAACATATAGCAAGATGTGATTTGGGGAAAAAAAACTAACTTAAATATTACTTTTATTTCTTTTACTCAGGTTTGCTCGGTGCAATTGTCTTCCCGTGATCTGAAGAAACAAATGGCGAAGGAGTTGGAAAAGTGGAGGAGAGATAAACCCACATCTACATTTGATCCCAGGGGTCGCTGTCAGGGGTATCGCACGGCCTGGATGACGGTCAGGGAGAAGTTTGAAGACCGGGGCAGGAGAAAGAAGGATAAAGACAACCTGTCTGTCGCTCTGACTCGCTCTGCTTCCACTTTGTCACTGTCTCCTTCACTGTTTCAAAAAAAGTTGATGAAAGGTGGAAAAGCCAAGGCAGGAGAAGGGAGTGCTAAAGTTGTAAGGCATCAGTCAATGGGATCGAAGGACGACTGGAGAAGCTGGATTAGTTTAAACCTAAAGAAGGTGCAGGGACTTGAGGAGGAGGAGGATGCAGAGGAAGACAAAGAACCAACAGGGAAAAGTGAAGGGAACGACCAATTAGAAGAACCTACAAAGATAGACAAGGATCCAAACACGGATATTAGGCAAATGGAAGAAAATGAAAATGTGAGAGAACCGAATGAAGCTGAATCAGAGAGAAATGAAACAGTTTTCAGAGAAGGAGAGAAAACTAATGTTGGGACCGAGCCAAACCAAGGACCAACCACTGATGTTCAATGCACTTCCCAACATGAAGAGGAACAGGAGATGAACCCCAACAGGCAATCACAAGTTCAGGAACAACAAACTAGTGAAATCAGTACCGAGGAAACTGTAGGACCAGTGACAGGAAGTGAATCTCTGGATGTTGTGGAAGAAAACGTGTTTGAAAAGCAGGAGGATTACACTGATGAAGCCCAGAGAGACCAAGAAACAGATGAAGTCAAAGTTTCAGGTGAGGCACACATGATTCAAGCTGACCTAAAAACAGAGGAGGAGACGGAGAACGAACAACAGACGCAAGTGGACACAGACCTCAAAAGAAGAACTGAGACAATTCCAGACTCTGAGACAGAAAACAACAACGAGGCCGCAACGCTCACGGAGCCTAATTTAACGCCAGAATTGGAGGTACAAAAAAAGGAGACTAAAGAAACAGACGAGAGCTTAGAAGATGATGTGTTTGAGTCACGGATGGAGGACGAAGAGAGAGAAGAATCCAGTGATCCACCAGAGATGGAGATGCAGGAAAAGGAAACTAAAGAAAGTGACAGGTGTCCAGAAGGTGATCAAATTAATGAAAAGTACCACGGCACGGAGTCAAAGCCTGAAATAGAAACAAGTGAAGAACTCTACAACCAAACAGAGATGGAGACAGGTGGAGAAAAGGCTGACGAGACAGACGAGAGCTTGCAAGATGTTGTGACTGAGTCACAGACGGAGGAGGAAATGACAGAAGAATCCAGCAACCCAACAGAGATGGAGATACAGGAAGAGGAGACTAAAGAGAGTGACAGGCACCCAGAAGGTGATCAAATGAAAGAAATGTACCTCAGCACTCCTGACAGAAAAACGAGCGAAGAACTCTACAACCAGACAGAGATGGAAACAGGTGGAGAAAAGGCTGAAGAGACAGACGGGGGCTCACAAGATGATGTGACTGAGACAGAGACAGAAACAAATGAAGGACTTAACAATCAAGCCGGGGTGGAGACACAGGAAAAAGAGACTGCAGAGATGAACAAAAGCCCAGAAAGTGATCAAATTAAAGAAATGTACCAAAGTACTGTGTCAACGACACAGAGTGAAACAAGAGAAGACCTCAATGACGCAACAGAGACACAGGAAGAAGAGGCCGCTGAAAAGGACGAGAGCTCACACGACTATGAGTCCGAAAAAGAATTCCACAAAGAGACAAAAAAAAGAAAAAACAAGACTGCAGAGACTGACGGAAACCCAGAGAGTGATCATTTCAAAGACATGAGAGAGGAGTCAAACAACCAATCAGAGACAGAGGAACTAGAGACTGCAGAGACTGACGAGGCTTCACAAGACAAATCCGACAGCCAAAAAGAGACAGAAGGTGAAGACAAAGTGGACACAGCACACACTGAACCAAACCCGGACAGAGACAATGAAACAGCTGCAGTGAATGAAACAATGACATCTCCACCTGAAATCAACCACCAACAGGAAGGCAATGATGAAGCAGCAGATACAGATAAATCAGTGAAGGGGTCGAGTGAAGCCTCAGAGTTCGACACAGCAGCAGAAGCCGCAAAACAAACAGTAGAAACTATTTTAACAATGCGCTCACAGTTGGGCGGAAGTGAAACACAAGATGAGACAACAGCCTCACTGAAGGAGGCTGAGGCAGTGACTCTCAGCAAAGAGTCTGATGAGAAGCTGAGCTCAGTAGAAATGAGGTCTTTGGAAAAACCCGCCTGTGCAGAACCAACAGGCCAGGTCACACAGGAGACCGATATCAAACAAAATGTTCCAGAGACTGAAGATGTCAGCATCTCCAGTTCTTCTACAGAAGTCACAGATACTCCACACACTGACATCGACCTAAAGAGACAGGAGGAAGATGTTTCAAGAAAATCAACAATAACAAGTGACCAGATCAGTGACGAGCACTTCACTGACCCACAGGAGAGCAGCCAAACACATTCTATCCCTGACCAGACAGCACATAAACGCATCAAAGAACAGTCCAATCCTGGAAATGTGAATACAACCCATAATTCTCCTGAAGTATCTTTAAAAAACAATTCTTTAAAGTCCGCAGAAGCTGTAAAGCAGAAAAAAGCAGCAGAAAAGGAGTCGTCTCCCACCAGCAAACATTTCTATCTCTTTCACAGACTCAGAGGAGATCAGTCCAAAAAGACTAAAGAGAAGAGGGCACAGAAGATGCAGGTGCCCAAAATCTTAATTCAGGACTTTAGTGATGGGACAGGAAAACTGGTCCAGGAAGGAGGTGAAGAGAAACTCAGCTCCAGGGAGAGAAGAAGGAGGCGGAGGGAGAGGGAGAGACAGGAGAAAGAGGAGGAGAAGTCAAGGAAAAAGAAAGAAAAGGAGATGGATAAGGAGCGAGAGAGGAAGAAACCACAGACCAGAGGAAAAAGTTTCCAAAATCAAAAAAAGACAGAATCAAATGATTCAGCTCAACTGACACAGATAAGATTTTTTAATTCCTATGCCGAGTCTTACTTCTGACAAATGAAGTTAGGTTGAGTTTGTGTCTGTGAGGTGGTTGGCAAGGACACATATTTTTATTTCTATTAATTCTTAATAAAATGTGAGATATTTTCCACAGAATTATGGAAATGTTCAATTTCCAGGATTATTCTCCTTATAATAAAGATGGGGTTGTTACAATCCTACACATAAAGTGACAGTTCTTATTTTTCTCCATGTGCTCTTATTTAGAATTATGATTTTAAAAGTTCATATTTTTGAACAACAAAATGGACTTTGACCCTCTTATTCTTACTACAAACACATATTTTTTATAAATAAATGATCTTTCAAAAATACTTTTTTTTATTTTGGGTGTTTTTTGCTTCTTATTGATCAGTAAAAAAGATGAACAGAAGTGCCTCATGTCTGATCTGACATTATCTGAAAACTGGACAAAACTCTTCAATGAAACGTCCTGAAGATATTATTAACATAATTAAGTCCAAATAAAAACAAAACATTAACACAAGAATTCAAATGATATTCCAAGTATATTCAAGTAGTCTAGGTCCGATGTCAAACGAAGTAAAAGTAGAAAGTGGCTGCTGTCAGGCCCGTCATTTCTTTCACACCATGTCCACAGTCCACTCAGCCTAACTGTCCTCCTCACTGTCACTGGCCAGCACTTCCTGGTTTGTCAAAGGCTGCGTGCTCATCAGAGACGACGAGGGAAGCACGGATCCAAAGAACAAAGAACAAAACTGTGGGAGAAAAATACAAAAAAGGTCAATAAAAAACCGAAAACCTGGTTCTGTTCCATGTTCTTATTTCACCATGCTGAAAGTAAATTGTGACATCTTATCTCGGGCTCAAACTTCACTAAATCACTCTAGATAAACTCTAGAGTGACTCTAATAAACTCACTCTTATTGATTTACCTGTATCTGTTTCAATGCATTGCATGGAAATCTACCGTTTGTTTTTAAATAAACCTATATTAACATGTGCTCAGGAGGAAAACGTAAAATAAATATAAAATCTAATAGTCCTCTGATATTCTTTGATACCTTCTTGTTAGGTGGCCCGTCTGTTTCAGACGTCTCATCTTCCTCCTGTTCATCGTCACTGTGTATCCTCGTTCTGTGATTGGCTGCAACAGGAGGCTTTGAGGTATATTCAGCTAGCGGTGTTGTGGCTGGAGCAGCAGTCGAGGGACCAGGTGCCATGCTGGTATCCATGGCGATGAGATAGGAATCCATGTCATCATTCATGAAATCATCATCAGGTGGGGGAGGGGGTGGTGTTTGTGCTCTGAGATGTGGGAGAAAAATATGAAAGGAATAAAAGAGAAATTGTTGCCATCAAATCAGACTGAAAAGAACCAAAAACTTTGAATCAAGCTTCTAAAGAGAGTTCATCTTACTTTGCCCTCACATTATTATGACAAGCTTATATGTTTGTGTAAGTTTTAAATTGAGAAATAAGGTGTTGGGAAATTTCACACACACCACACCATTTTCTTATGAGCTAAAAAATATGATACTTTTATGACTTTTACAGTTTAAACAAATATAATTCAGGGAGCTAATGGCTTTTTTGTGTACACTTTGTAAAGAGAGTGTTCCAGAGGACCGCGTGTTTTCAAATGGGCACTCAGAACACTTAGAGAATGCAGTTAACTCCCGTTCAGCATGTAGAATTCCAATGAAAAAGATTGAAACTGTCCACTAGATGGCACTGTCCTATTTGAAAAGACAAATCAACTGAAGTGAGAAATACAAAATAAAAATAATAATCTGATGTCATCTTATTTCACCTCTTTGTGTTGCTCTTACGCTGGCTTGGATCGTCAGAAAGTGTAGCCAGCACAAAGTTTCCTTCCAGGACACTGTCTGTCACTGAGAGCACCACAGGACTGACAGACAAAAAAACACACACACACAATCAAAAATTATGCAAATTAAATATGAAATCAACAAAAGTGTTTTATTAGTATTTGCACGTGTGTCTGTGTCTGCTCACCTGCCTGGCTCATCAAAGTACATAGAAATAGGAAGACCTGTTGATTCTGCAAACACTAATAGACCCTGGAGGAGACATAACAATCAACTGAGAAAACTTGATCATTCTTACTGTACTCCGTGTACTGTCATCGTTGTCTCTACTGAACTTCAATGGTTCCAGATGAATGTCCTCCTCTTTTTCTAATTTATTCTTTTCTCAGTATGACCATCATCTCACCCGTAATTCTTTTAGACAGAACGTAATACTGCTGTGATCCTGCACGGAAAATTCATCAAATTCATCTGAAGCAAGACACAGCTCTGTCAGCATGGCCTTAGACTCTGAAAAAAGAAAAACAAAAAAAAAACACAAATACAAATTTTTAGACCATGAAAAAACCAACTTACTTTAACCTGGTACAACACAAAGATGTTGTTGTGTCTTCCTGTCAAAATGACTATTTGTAGCTTTAGAATTTAGCTAGCTTTTTTAATAGCTTTTTTTTTTTTTTTACTTCTTATCTTGTTCCATTCACTGTTAATATTTAAAATAAAAAGTGTCAAATGCACTTAAGGAAATCATTTTACTCACACATTTTATTTTATTCACCTGTTTCTTCATCCACATGATTCCTGAACCACATCCGGTCAGCATTTACTGAAACAGTAACTTCATCCAGTGATGAAGGAAAATGCATGACTGTGTCCACCAGCAGCCTGTGGGTCAGAGAAAGTTTAATGAAATTCAAGCTTCTCATAGAAAAGGTAAAGAAAGAGCCAGAGCAGAAAGCTACAGCTCAAATCTCGATTTAGAATTCAACAATTTTACAAAGTGGTTCAAAGATATAGAGCAACAGGACTGACTGTCAGTTATTGTAATACATTACAATATAAATGGCACATTGATTCCACAGACCTGGATTTGGCTTTGAACACATTACCACAGCTGTCCTTATCAAAAACCGCCTGTAAACTTTCACTGTCCTGAAAAGACAGGTTATGTGTTTTCAGCAAACCTGCAAAGAAAATAAAGGATTTTTTTTAATTTTTCTCGGGGAAGAAAGTAATTGTAAATCATGCATCAACCTTATAAAAGCATAAAAAGATAATTGCAACCATTGGGGGCTGGAGAAAAGCACCGTTACCATGTTTGCAGTGCAGTGTGAATGTGAGTCGGTTTTTCTTTTTGTCCAACACAATGTGACACTTTTCCACTGTCTTCTCAAGAGACGCCAGAGACCTGAACACAGCCTGCACACTCTGACTCATTCACAGTGGAAAATTAAATACAAATTAGACTTTATCCTGAATTTTATACAGTGAGTACTAATCATGACACATATTTTACAGTTGTTACAAACAGTTTATGCACAATGTGCACATATTGGTCTGATTTGGCTGCCTTTCACAAGTAAATGGTTGCACAGCCTGAACACAAACACCTAGAGAATCAAAAGATTTTTATTCACAAGGTATAGGGTCCTTCCACCAGCGCACGTCTTGTCTTGTGTCATATGTAAATGACACTGGTCTATTTCAAGTGCAATTTTGAATCTCTAAGATGAAGGCAGTAATAACTAATTACCACTTTCTCATTTGTTTCAAAATCTGTTCCCAGGTACATTGTGCTTTTCTTTTTATGACACTTATCCCCCTAGAGTTTTACTTGCTTATTCTGCAATGCTGAATATCTTGAATATGTCGAATATGCACATTGCACATAGAGTGACTCAGGTTACGCCTCACTGTACTTACAGTATACATGTACTACTGCGCCTCTCCAAACTCTTGGAATTTTTATCTCCTGACAATAGCCCTCCTGTCTCTGATCTGATATTTCTGGTACACTGCAGCACAGCACAAGACTTGTCATAAAAAAAAAATCTTGTTTCAACACACCTTTATTGCCATCCTGCAACGGAAAACATTCTCACTAGGAATGGTGTACCTATCAAAGAGGAAACATGGAGACGTCTCAAATATTTTGGACATGACAGTGCAATCTCTCTGACTGACACTCTCTCTCTGTCTCTCTCTCTCACACTCACATATAGAACATGTTACGCAAATATCCTATTACATACATAATCTTAGATTGTCAATAATGAGGTTTTGCCTATTTCGTATACAGTTCTTTGTCGATTCAATTCTATGAGAACATTTAAATATTTTCCTATAATGATCTGCAAAGGCAAAAAACAACCCCCCTCCCCCCACACACACGGTCTCCACCTGCTGAAGTAGAGTGGTGCGAACAGGAAACAAGCATATGCTGACCGAGATGAGTTGACAGACCGCAGAGCCAGCTTCAACAAAAGAGAGAGAGAGAGAAAACATCAGCGCTATTCAGTGAAGCACATCATACACCAACAGGAAGCTACAAGATCAATGCAACACAAGAGGAAGTTTTGGTGTTTTCTGTCGGTCTGTGTATGTGTGTGAGAGTAGCTCACTCCATCATCTTGAGGCTCCACATACAGCTCATCACCGATCCTGGACAGCGAGTGGATGGCTTTAGCCAGCACTGAGCGGTACATCCACACACATTTTATGATTATTTACATTATAACAACCAGATAGGTTTGTATTTTGTTGCGAAATAATAAATATAACCGACCTTTTACGTTTCCTCCTGTTACGATGCAGTCCATGCCTAGAAATTAGACAGTACTTTTTGTTTAGTTAGCAAACTATGCTAAAAGTGAGCTAAGTCTGCTTAATACATTTCTATAAAGGTAAACCACTGAGGGTTTGATAGTTTGCGCTTTGACTAAACAACCTTGCAAATACATTCTCTGTTTGGTCGCTTTTCTTATTTAGTTTGAACTTCTGCTGGGCTACGCAACATCTTACAAAACTCCAGCGTTGTTTGCGCCGCCATTGTCCACTTCCGCCCGGTGAACCAATCAGAGAGTTAGTCGTCCAAGAGTCTGCGTGTCAATGAGCGCATGCGCATTGACGTTACATACAAGTGTATAAGATAGTTGCTACCATGGTTAAAGATGTTTTAAAAAAACATTGTTTCGAGGGATAGCAGGGCTTTTAAATATATATATATATATATATATATATATATATTTGATTAAGATGATTATATAATATTATATTTCATTTTGGCATCAACAAAAATATTTCTGGAGATAGGTGCTACTTTAATGAAAAATAGAGAACTATGTTAATCCCACACAAGGGAAAATGATGTGTTAACAGCAGCTCTGCTGCAACAGGCGACAAGTATGTGGTTCCTTGTGCATAATGCACCTTATACAAGATTTATACTATGCTTGTACATCATAAAAATATAGTATTTACCTTTTTTGATCTTGTCACATACTGATGTTGTGCTGAGGTTTATCTCTATTAATCGTATTTTCTATATAGTAGGAAAAGAATATATAAAGTTATTTTCACATCTACATATCCTTTGTATATTCAGTAACACAAATGTTACTTTATTAGAGTCATTGTAAACTTTTCTACTTTTTCTACTACATGTGAGAAACACGCAAGAAAATAAATAACACGTAAAAAAACGTACAAGTAAAAAAAAAAAAAAAAACACTTTTACATGGAAAGATTCTCCTAAACCTACACAACAATAATTAAAATATATTTTAGATTTCTACAAATATTATTATGAATATTTTTGGCTTGCTTTTAACTACCAATTACCAGTCAAGTATCACAGTGTGTGTGTGTGTGTGCATATGTGTGAAACAGCAAAAGAGAACTGGTGAGGAAAGATAGGCAAATAGAAAGATGGGCAGAGAGACAGGCGGAGAGGGAGAGTCACTGTCAACACACAATTATCTCACCTCACTGGTCTTTCTTGTTGGTTTGCTTCAGTGTGTAAGATTGAAGGAACATTGAGGTCCCTCCTCTGATCACCAGTTAAAGTAGGAGCGTGGCTAAATAACTCTTCTTAACTGAAACTGAGCAAAGGGACTTTGGAAGGACACAGTGTGGTTATTTCTAAACATCTGTGGATTAAGGAGATATAGAAGCGTCATAGAATGATCACCTATGAGAAGGAGGAGCATAATCAAGATTCAAGACACTTTCTTCTATGCATGTTTGATCAGGGATCTGTCTTGACATATCCTGCAGAGAGAGCTATAGAGAGGGAAACAAAGATTGGTATATGGAAAAAGTAGAGAAGTAGAAACAACATTGGACTTTGGGTTGGGCTGATTTTTTTTTTTTCTCATGTTTTCTTTTTCCTTATGTCATGTCTTTCAGTTTCTCTTAAAGGAAAAGTAATGTCAAAGGCTGTCTGGATTGCACCTCCCCTTTGCTTTGGAAAATATTGTGGTGTTTACATCTACGCATTGTTGACATGCTTTTCAATGCGTTTTGAGAGACAACTATTCTGTTCTTAGATGTCTCAGCCACAGAATCTGACAGACACTCAGGGACTGCTGCAGTCTATGCTGCAGAGACTCAAGCTCCAGCCGGGACGAGAGGGTCAGTCAATCCCATCCAGCCCTGTTACCACCTCAGCTGCCACATGGAATCAGGATGAAGACAAAGGACAGCGAAATCCAGAGAAATTACACCACGTCAATGGATTTGAACCTAAGACCAATGGTATTTCTCCGAAACAGTTTGGGATCACTGCTGTGGAAAGTAATTTTGGCTCCAAAGGTGGGGATATACAACAACCAATCCAAAGTCATGACATGGACAGGACTAACTTTTCTTCACCCGCCGTGAAAAACAACATTGATTATGCTGCAAGTGGGAAAAAGGTATTGGGAGAAGCTGCACAGCCTGAAATTAGCCTGGGAGGAACAGGGGAGTCCCTTCCTGCCAGATCACTTAAGGATCATGATATCAGCCCTTTAAAAAAAACTGATGGCGAAAAATTCAAACTTAGCAGTCCTGCAATGCTGAGACAAACTGCTGGAGATAAATATACTGTCACGATCTCAGGACAGCAGCAGGAACAGAGTGAAGACTTTACGGCCAGAGTTTATGCATGGTCCCCAAAACCCAGACATTCAAATGTTGACACTAGAGGTCTAGACAATAAAACCTCATATGTAGAAAATGGAGGTTTTGGAGACTTTGGTCAAAGTAAAGACATGCTGTTTGTCGCAAGTAGCCAAACAGCAACACACAACAACTTAAAGAGAGCACAGCGATCGTCTGATAATAAAAAAAGGAGGTGGACACAGAAGATTAAGGAGAAATGGTTGGACAGGTCAGGGAGCAAAAGGGGAAAAGACCAAGGCGGAGGAGCAGACCATAAGGCTGAGCACGGAACTGAAGTAAGTGATGAATATTATATTTATTTTTATATATATATATCAACAGATCAGAATTTCCTCACAGATTTATCCCCACAAGCAGACAACAGAAGGTGTAAATGCTTCAAGGAGAGAATCAGAGGCGACTTCAGCCTCACTGGACAGCAGTGACCTCAGTGAGACTCTGACTGTGATCTCTGAGGAAGACCCTTCGGAAGATCGGACCAGGTATTTTACCCTGAGACTGACTCTGAAAACTGTAGTAAAATATATTTGATCTCACTCTGGTAAAAATATGTCAGGTATGTGACGGCCATTTTCAGCCAGCACTGCGATTGGTTGAGCACAAGCCTGTGTCACCCACAGCATCTGTCGTCAGCCATCTTTAACCACACACTTGGATGGCAACAAGTCACATGACATTTTAATTACACCTTTATGTAAATAATACAACAGCAGAAAAAAAACAATAGCAGCAGTGTTCAGATGTTTCGCTCAGGTGAACTGAATTCACAGATGTATTTTTGAGTATTCCCTGATAACGAGTACTTACTCTGGGTCTGAATACAAATGCAATAAACTGGAAGGTGTACACTGTAGATGGAACAGCTCTGTTGATAACAGGGTGCAATATTAAGGTATGAGCTCAACACTCCCTTCATCTTTGACTAAAAAAATAATCAAAACTAAGGATAGAATAAAAAAAAATTAAACTGAGCAGCACCATTTTAAAGTTTCAACAAACAAATTGGCACATAATGTAGGTTAAATTAGTCTAAACAAAAGTGACTTGGTGAACTGGAAACGCCTCACCTATCAACTGAGTCATTAAACCAAGAGGAAACATTAACACATTTGGCATGTTGGCATTTTTGTCCCTTATTTTTTAAATACTTCCAAATTGCTGACATTGCTGATGAATTAGTCATGAGGACAATGAGACACTGGACTGCAGTAGAAATACCGTGACAATGACTGACTGGTATAATTTAACTGTTGTCATAATATTGATCGTATTGTGTTCCTGCTCCAGGTCATCTGGTGACTTTGACTTTGGCCTGGGTTCATTCAGCCTCCTGGAGGAGATTGTCACCGGTCAGGAGTGGGCTAAGTTTCTAAACCCCAGTGTCACTGCCACCTCCACCAATCAGAAACAGCCAGAAGAGCCACTGAGCCAGCTCCAAAGCCGACCAAACAGTCACCACAGTGGGCAGTCTTCTTTAATGTTAAGCCAACAAGCGGGCGGACACAGCTTCACTGGCACAGGGTCGACTTCAGGTCCGTATTTCGTCTCGACACACATGTCACCTGACGCCTTTCAACTTGTGAGTATGGAAGTGTCTGAGGGCAAAGGGCGTCAGCAGCAGGAAGTTCACAGAGCAGCTGATCAGTCAGAGCCAATGGAAGAAGTTCAGACAGCAGAGAGCGGGCGGCGGCAGCAGCACAGACCGCCATCCTTTACTGAGGTCAGTTCCATTGTCAATTTAACATCTCATTATGAAAAAAAAGAGAAAAATCCATAAAGCTGCCAAAGCTGCCATAAATGTCACACCTGTGTTGGAGTGGATTACCTAGTAATCTGGTCACAATTGCAGCCTGCAGGTAATGTGATCCACTCAGTCCTGAAGAACGTCCACCAGAACAGAAAGAGGCAGCACCAGTCAGCTGCCAGAGATGAGGCGCTTCGCTCTGAGATAACAGGTGGCGCTGAGGGGACGAGCAGAGGTGGAGACAAACTTTAACTCTGACTTAACACATTTCAACCTTTAAATTCTTTTTTGTCACAGGAGCGGCGCTGAGCTCAGCCTACAGCCGTGATGTGACGAATGAGACACAGCGTGATGTCGACATGTCTTCAAGTTCTCCTACTACAAGTCTCACTCCCTCCTTCAGACCTTTTGCTTATCCTTCTCGGAGTGTTCTGAAACACACAGAGTCCCTGGACTGGTCCTCCATGGAAACAGAGACCAAAAGGGTAAGATATTGTGGAACACAGTGCCTCCTTGTGGCAGGAAACCACCTACACCACTTACTGTAACTACATAATTGAAATAACTTGAAATTTGCCTTTATATAACAGAATTCTGGTAAATTGGTAACTGATTTATTGTGTCTAAGTATCTATGAGATCAAGCCTTTAAGGAAACTCTAATAGAAAAAGCAAATAAAAACTAAATCCCACCCACAGTCCATACAGAAACAGACATAACAAACCCAAACTACTCACCCTGTAGAATTTTATTGCTGCTATTTTTCTTGATTCCTTTTTTTCTTTGACATTCTTCACTGTTCCTTTTACCCTTCCTGTTTCAGAGGCGAGTGGAGGAGAACCGAAGGGTTCATTTTGCAGAGGAGGTGGTGACCATAGACCCTCCAGAGTTTGATATGGATGCAACAGAGTCTGAGGAGGAGGAGGAGGAGGAGGACAATTCTGTGAACGACCACGACTCGGGGCAGTTGGCCACACAGGTCACATCGGCCTCAGCATCAGGAGCAGCAGCAACAGCAACAGCAGCAGCAGCAGCAGCAGCAACGACGTGGCCAGGCTTCCCTGCTTGGATACAGGCTCTGAAGATGAGGAACTCGGGGAGGAGGCGCAGCTACAGACTGTAATAGAACAAAACATCAGCATCTGATCTCAAAAATCACTCTCTCCTCAGATAATAAAGAAAAGAAATAAAGCCTTAAAGCAAACGGATGTGATCTGAAGATATGTTACAAAAATGACATTTGCAATGTCAGGCTAATACTTTCTCATTGTTTATATACATAAAACAATATATAAATTATATTTAAAAGAAAAAAAATCTCAATCTTATTTTTGCATTTTTGTAAAACAACTGAACTTCAGACTGTATTTTGTTTTGTATGTTTTGTATTTCACAGAAAAAACTATTTTTGTTAACACAAAGCACCTTTAATCTTTGTTCGTAGAAGCACTGTTCAAACTGTTCAAACCTTGTATTGTTCTGAGTAAGTTTAACCTCGTGATCGCTGACATTAAAGACTGTTTCCAAACTGCTGACTCGTATTTCAGTCAGTTATTTTCATAATTATCATAAACATTCTTATCATGACCAATCAGACACTTCTCCAGCTTCTGTTCCAATGACTACACTGACTGACTGACTGGCTGAAACCTTCCTTTTCCTCAGTGGAGGGGCAGCAGAGGGTGTACAGTAATGGTCGTGTAGATCATATTCTGTGCTGTCCATTACATGCATTAAACATTCATTTGAGTGACTGAATTTCGGCAGTTTATCACGTTCTGTGGCGAGCTGCCGTCAATTCCTCTGTGGCCTCCATTCACAGCTATCTTTTCTTGTAAATCACTGTCAGAGCCATTAGAGCCTCTTTAGCTCTTAAGCTCTATCTGTGTTAGTGACCTGGTCACGTTTTACAGACAGACGAGTGACGACTTGGGAAGAAAAAAAGGACGAGAATGGCATAAAAAAAAGAGAAATTAGGAAAATGCAACATTGATCTTTGAGAAGAAGACACTGAAGCAGGAAAATAAAAAAGTCAAATTGACCACAGGAAAAAGGTGAAATTAAATTATTCCATCAGAGCCTACAGTAGCTCTCACCACTGTGTGTGACCACAGTGAAGTGGACTAAGGATGGGCTATTTGTAAACCACCAACAACACACACACACACACACAGACGTGCAGCCATCCTCCCTGTGTCTTTACGCTGGGTTCAATGATTTTATTTGTTGTAATGTAAATTTTCAGTGGTACAGGAGTAGCAGATACTGGTACACAATAATATATTTTAATATATTATTATATTATATTTGAGTCGCACCTGAGTATAAGTCGCAAACTCAACCAAAGGATGAAAACAACTGGCTACTATTTGGCATGGTATATACAGTATATATTTATACTAAATACAGTATCAACTTAATTTATGAGTGAATGTTCTACTTTTTGAACCTGTGGTTTTCTGTAAAAAAATGTTTTCTTTTAATATTTAATAGCAAAGAGCATTGGTTTCAGGAGATGGAAAAAGTTTTAAAAAGAGCAAAGAGAAAACTCAACCAATTACTACTTTACTGAAACAGTGCTGAAGCTAAGACTTCCTAATGTGTCAATAATGTTGTCAAAAAGCTGTTACTGTCTAGTGGTCACATGTCACAGTTACAGTACTGCATGGGAAAATACTGCAGACCTTCAGTACTGTAATGTAGTCGAGCCGTTTGACCAGAGCAATTCTTAAATGTTTGATTTTTGGTCAAACTTCTGACCTGGGTGGGTTCGGGCTGAGGTTTTTGTCTTTTGTTCTCTACGCCGCAACACTTTCAAAATTAATTGCCTGTGAGTTAGGAGTGAAATTCTTATGTGCCTCATCTCAGGGCCAGACCAAATTGGTTTGTGAGGTTTTTTTTTAGGTCCATTGATTGGAGCATTAACTGCAGCGTCACAGCGTTCTGCCAAAAAGTGTCCCGTCATCAATGTCCTCTGGTTTTTCTCTTTTTTTTTTTGATGCCAATGTTGTAGTTTTGAGTCACAGAGGTAGGTCGGAGGTGGAGAGAGAAATGGCCCCAGAATCATATGGACTTTTGATGCCTGGTTTGAGTGACAGCTGACTGGCTGGGCTCTGAGCGAGGGAGGCTTCTATCTGAGCTTCAGACACCTGGAACGACAAGGAAAAAAACAGGAAATGAAACCCTCGTCGAAGAGTTGTCCTGACCACCTGCTGAAAATGACACCACTGGGGTCGCTGTGTTTGAGACCATTTTACCTCTTCAAATTTCTTGGCTTTGTACTGCTCCGCGCCCTTCAGGAAGTTCAGCACGATGATGTCACAGAGGACTGTCCCCTGACGAAATGTATAACAAACAAGAATTAAAAACTGACATCAATGTGAGAAGACAAAACAGTTCAAAACATATTTGCTCAAAAAACTCCTACCAGTCCAATAGAGGTGAAAGCAGCGACCAGGTTGATCAGTGTTGGGATGGTGTTGAATTTCCCAGCCTAAAAAGACAGAAAGAAGGATCTGTGAACATTACATTAACATATAAAATTACTTTTAAAGGGATATGTACATGGAGTTTGTTTATAAACAATAGTAAAGATTTCTACTTACTACACATTAAATAGTTGCTATTTTTGTAATGTTTAAAAATAACTTCCCAAATGTAGCCTTCATACACAGTCATCATTAATACTCACTTTTCCCGTGATCATAACATCAAAGCGTATTGCGAACACCTTGTGAAGTGTCCGATACTCTGTCCCATTCTCTGTCTTGTAATATTTTGCAAATCTGTATTTAAAACAAAAAAATTAAAAAATGGAATATTTAATTGGTTAAAAGTTGGTAAAGGTTAAAGAAAGAAATGTGGCCTCTGACCTGAAGTTGTATCCCTTGGAGACAGCATTCTTGGCAAATGGTAAGTCCAGGCGCGTAAAAGAATAGTTGGGCACACAGTTCTCGACGTTCAGGTCCAGGTTACAGATCCACGCTATGTTTATTCCTATCTCTCCACCCTGATGTAGAAGAAGCAGAGGTGGAGGTGAGAGAACGGACAAAAACCCAATGGTCCAAAAATGATGTGTAAAAATGAATTCATGTCAGTGTTTAGTCAGACTGGAGCAGACGGTGATGAAAGAGGAGAGGAGAGGAGAGACCTTGTCTGCCAGGCTCTTCACACTCTGCCCCGTGGAGTTTAGAATTTCCCCCACCCGAAAGATGGGACAGAAAGGGTTGGTCTCCGGGTGGTAGATGCATTTCTTGATCTCCGACGACGTCATGGTTGAAGGAAAGTTTCCTCTGAGAGACAAACACGTCATGGAGTGGATTTTAATTTACTCAGAATGTGAATTCAATTTAAAATTTGAATTTGTTCTTTTTTTAGTGTGTGTGTGTGTGTCCCACCTCGTGACATTAAAGAGCGGAAAGCGAATGCTGTTTTTGATGAAAATAGTGAAGTTTTCCACGTCATACATGGGAGTGCTGTGGAGAAGGAGGAGAGAGAAGAGGTGCGAGGATGAAAAGGTCGCACCGCGGTCACGAACACACTTTTAATGACATTAAAACAATAACTTTCCACTAACCGGGAAGACAAACACTACATCTGCGAGATTTAAAATGTTTGTTTTCACAACTGAATTAAACAAATACAGAACCAGGGTTTGAACATTTGGACCAGGTTTGGATGGCTGGACTCTTGGACCAACTGCTGCAGGAGCGTATTAAACCCAGTGTAAATGTACCGACAGACGGCTGATCAAAAACCTACATATCAACATTTATGTTCTCTGCTGGACACCATCCTTCTATTTCACACATGCCCTTGGTGTTATTGCCGGACTTGAGGCAAACGCCTGTTATTTGTCCTGTTGGAAAAGAAGAAGAAGAAAAAGACAAACAGGAGATGTGGAAATGTAAATAAACTTCCTTTTAAAATGTAAATTGAAAAATATCACATACGATTTGAAACTTTTAAAACTTTAAATGTTTAAACTTAAACTTTGGTTAAATCATATCATCATACTATACTATACTATACTATACTATACTATACTATACTATACTATACTATACTATACTATACTATACTATACTATACTATACTATACTATACTATACTATACTATACTATACTATACTATACTATACTATACTATACTATACTATACTATACTATACTATACTATACTATACTATGTATATGGGAGTGGGATTTTAGTATGGTATAGAAGTATAGTATGCAGGGTTTACAGACAGAGGACGAAGAACGTCGTCTTTCTGTAGTTCAGATGAGATGGCTGCTCTTTTACATTGGTCACCATTAGGTTTAGCGCCACCTATTGACTCACCATTGGAAAGGTTGGTTTCTAAATGCTCCTGGCAGTCTTCATCTGTCTCACATGTAAACCTTTTCTCAGTCTGAAGGAAACACACACACACACACACACATAAATACGTTGGATTTAATGCTTCTCTCGATCTTGCCTAACAGTCATGTTCTCACCTCTGCACAAGTTCTTTGGAACTGATTTTCCGTGATAATGAGTTTGGTCATGATGCAGAACACGCCTGAACCCTGAAACACAGCACGGCAGATCAAACTGTTGGTTATGCTCCCGGTGTTGAAGAGGAAGGTGAAGATGATGAAGATGCTGTCTGTGTGTAGAGCGTTAACTGAGCCTTAACATGGCCTCGCAAGCACAAACCACCTGTGGGGGGAAGACGTAGTCGGCCACATCCATCACACGGTTTTGATGCACACCGAATCCTTTGACTTTGGTCATGACGGACGACTCGATGCCGGTGTCGATCACCTGATACGCCTTCTCATGGATGAAAACCCAACTACAGGTCGAGGGACACAAAACACATTATTATTATTATTATTATTAGAGATACAGCACTTAGGTTATACTGGAAGTGTAATATTATTATCAACATTGTCATATTAAAGAAGAAGACGAATATGAAGACGACTTTGTTTGCGTTTTCCTGTTGCACATCTGTACAGAGCGTAGAAGGACAGGGAGTATCCAAACCATAATTAGTAAGTCAGTAATAAAAGAGTTCTAAATTTCTATTCACTTTTTGTTCCACAAATATTTCTATTATACAATCAAACAATCTTCATCAAACTTATTTGGTGTAACCTTTTCAGTGTAAAACAATCATCATTTTGACTACTTTATTTCAAACTAATGTTAAGAGGAAAGAATACAAAGCACATGTTGATATGACGTCATTCAAATTAATGTATTATATGTAAAATGTCTGTACTACACTTTTACATTTACTTTTACAACTACAGACTTTTTTCAAATTAAAAGTCTACTCATACAACTGGTTATTTCAGCGTTTATTAGACTCTTTAATAATAATAGCAATTTTTAAAAAATAGTATTTTCTTAGTCCAGTGACGCTACCTCTAATTAATCTATTTAAGACATCAATACTTAAAAAAAGGGAATATTAAACAGGTGTTTGCTTCATTTCACTTCGGTTCCTCTTTTTACCCTAAAAGTTATGACTAAAAAGGAAGTGAAAATGAATCATATTTACTACACAAATCTAAGGAAAACAGCATTTTATGTCACATAGAATTTTTCAAAAAATAATTATGTAGAAAAAAAAAAGTTCAAATACTGACCCGGCAAAGTAGGCAATGATGAGCACCTGCACGATGCGGTTGATGATGCCTACAGACCAACTCTTCACCACCACAGACTTGGTGGTCTCGTAGGTGAAGAAGTCAGTGACGCAGCCCCACACGAACGAGCCCATGGCTGCTCTCCCACTGCCTGAGAGGAAACGTCTCCAAAGTCTCAGTGATGTTTTCTGCTGCCTCACTTCTGAGCCGTGGTTCTGCTGGTGGAACAGCTGGATGAGGTGCTCATCAGACCAGGTTCGGACTTCTTTGTGCTCGTCTGCCTCACTGCATTTTTGACCTCACCGTGTTGGTTTTGTTGGTTTATGACACAAAGTGGACCTCCCTTCTTGCACTGAACTGAGTGACGGTGATGTGGAAGTGTCTCCACGGTCCCTCCCTCCTCCTCTCTCATCCTTCACCACAAATCCCCATCTCCCTCGCCTCTTTTCTCCATCCATCTTTGGTTTATTTCAGCCACGTGCAGGATTTCTGTAAAACACATTAAGACAGTTGTTCATATGTTGCTTTTAATACTGTACCAAAAAAAACCACACATTTATTTGACGTCAGATAGTGGTTTCTGGACAATCATAGCAGTTTTAAGGCCATATTAATATTTTTCCTACATCATCATTTATTTCCTTTAGCATTTAGCACCTAATCTAGACAAGAAGGCACCGTTTTAAATGACTGACTGTTGTCATTGTGAAAAAAGACTTTTCATTCCAGTATTTGTATCCACTGTCTAAAGCTAAGCTGTAACTGTTAGGACTGAAAAGAGGCGCCTGTCTCTGCTGGAGTTTCTCTTGGTGCATCAAAACGTCAGAACCATCATGGCTGCCTCGTTGGACCGGACCATATTTGTAAACACTGTGATCGACTATAATCAAGTTCACTACTGTACTGTAATTATTATATTTTACTGAGTTAAACAAGCACAAATGATGCCTTGTAAAAATGACTTAATGTTGCACAACACATGTAAAGATATTTTGAGCATTGTTCATAGGCAGAAAAATGACACTCTTTTTTCAACAACTTACTCTGGCTTCTTGAATTTGATCTTACTAAGAGCGACTCTAGACTGAAGTACAATGAGGTATTACTTTAAAGACCCGGATAGGCAGCCTAATGTATTCACACTCATTCAAATGTCCAACATGTCTACATTAAGTGCTACAAGAAGCAGGAGTTTAGATGTGAGGGAAAAAATGACAAACTGTTGTATTACTGACAAATTTGTAACGATTGAGCCACATGATACGACCGATTCTCAATACACTTACGCACCCCAGCAGCATTACTGCCTCTCACATCAGGCAGATAATGTACTGATGCAATGACAGTGTGTGTGCGCGTGTGTTTTTGTGTGTGTATAAATGTATGTGGCTTCAGCCAATGTCATTTCTTAAGTGGGTCCATTAGGTTTGTGGTCTATTAACGGTAACCTAAGACAAAAGAAGCACACATAAACACACGTGCGGGTTTGGACGCTGAGACGGGCACACAGGCTTTCAGACTGTAAAGTTGATCATGAAGACATTCCTGTGATAGTGTGAGGACGATACAAGTACAAACACAAGAGGCTTCTGCGTCAGATTAGAGAAGCAGACAGGCACGGTGAGGGCGATAACGCTGGTCGTCAGATGGATTTCTCTGTGTAAGGAGAAACCACAGTGAAAGGGATCCTTGTGCCACAGGAAGAGATCTATGTAAACACATTCACAGTGGCATCCTCCTCAGCTGGCTACATTTACACGGGGTCTCAACATCAGAAAAGTACGATGGCGTGAACATTTGGAAGACAAACAGCGTGAGCACAAAAAAATCCAGGCAGAAGACCAAAATGAACAGACTCAGAAAGTGTTTCTGTCCACAGTCATGACCCCACGAAACACAGCTGGGATATACGTATAATCACTATATCAACTGTACTGCATATACTGTACAACAGAGTTTCCCAACCCATTCTGAGCCAGGGCACATTGTACATGCACAAAAAAGTATATGTTATAAAATATAAATAACTTAGCATCAATTTATTCACAATAGACTTACACAGTGAATCCTGGGCCTGTTTAGATGAACACAACACTGACATATTCACAGGAACTGAAGAAAGGAACGTGCCAAGATCTCTTCTTCTCTTATTTTGTTTGTTTTATAGCCATCAGCTGCCACCTAGTGGAAGAGTATTTCATTGTTGTGTCTGTCACATTGACAATCAAAGACCAATTATTTGCAGTAAATAAAACCAAAGTGGATCATCTTATTCTTAGGCATTGCAGTGATAAACATTAGCTGAATTAATTTTGTTTTACGTTACTGGCTGAAAAAAAATGGAACCATACAGTATTTCTGCAGTTTGGGAAAAAAAAAAATTCTGATTGTATTTCGTTCTCTAAGGCCTGTAAACGTGTGGCTTAAACTCATTTTAAACATTTGTTTTAATCAACCCATCACTGGGAAACTGTTTCTTAATTTATGCTTACTGCGAAAATTCATCCTAATAACTCTGATCCTCTGACCTTTGCTGTGGAGACAGTAGCTATTCTGAGAGGACAGAAAGCCTCATAATTTGATAAAGATACTGTTGTGTCACTGTCAGGTTAATCATCTTACTGCATGCCGGTGTGGACAGGAAGTTTTAAAATGAGTCCTGGCTGCAGCTTTATGCTCAAATTGACTTAAATTACTTCGGAAAAATGGTTACTGTAAAAAATAAAACATGAGGGGTCATCATTAGGACATCCAGTTAGTGTTTGTGGAGGAGGAAGAACAGGAAGAGCACCTTCTCCTCTAAACCCATGCCATCCATGAGTGGTCTTTGGCTCTTAAAAACCACCTTGTTCAAACCACACTGTATCAGCCTCTTTACAAACTGCCATGTACTTAGGCCTTTTCCCTCTTATCTAAAACCACTGTCTCTCCAACATTCACCAGCGTCGCCGTCTAACTTCCTCTGATAACACACAAACTGCCTGGTTAAATGGGCATGATGTGCACGTGAATCCCATGGGAATTTCCAGAATAAGGATACAGAGCCGTTACTGAACTATAAAATGCCAGGGTTTTGGATGTATCAAATAAATGACAGGATTAAGTTCATTGTTGACTCTGAATAGACCACAGTTGTGAATGTGTGTGTAAATGGCTGCTGTTGTGATAGACTGGTGAATTGTTTACTCCGTCCTCCTCCAAAAGTAACTAGGTTCGGCTCCATCTCCACTCACCCTGACATGGACATTAGGAGTCAAATAAATTTGGACAATCAAAAATCTTTTGTTATAAATTGTTACCATGATGAAAACAGTCTAAATACATTAACAGTTTGTAGACAGATGCTGTTTATGAACCTGATTTTGTGGCTTAGAAAAAAACAACTGAAAACAACTTTTTTCCCCACACATTTTTTGACAGTGAAAACAAATAATGGTTGAAAACAAAGTCAGCAGAGACTTTTTATCAAAAATGATTTAATTCATTTATTTCAACATGACATGAGAAAACAAACATATAAATGCAGTTCAATCTCTACACCAGGATGATTAAGATTTAGACTGAAAATCCAGAAACTAACGAGTCCTACACAGTGCTATCAACCTAAAGCGACCATCGTGAAGGTGGCGACCAAAACATTCAGTGACTTGATCAGCCTCCGCTCGTGACGTCACTGTGGAAACACACACTTGATGTTTCAGATATCCCAACGTACATGACAAAAAGTCCAAGTTAAAAAAAAAAATTCTCAGATGAGCTTTTCCTCCTCGTCAGTTTGTTTGTCTGGCGTCAACAAAGGTGTAACTGCTTGGTCCTTGGTTTGTGTGTATTGAGAGTTTGAGTGTGTCAGTTTAGTCTGACTCTGGCTCTGAGCTGGCTGGGGTGGACATCGCCTCCTCCTCTTCCTCCTCCTCTTCTTCTGACTCCTAAAAAAAAAAAAGACATTCAATCAGAGACTGAAACTTTCACACTGTTGATTTTATTTTACTTTAAACATTTTTTTTTAGAAATTTTAACTTCCTGCGACAGTGAAAAAGAGCTTTACTTTCCCTGGCTATTCTCTTCAGTTCGGTAAAACATTTTATATTTTATTATACACTAATTAAAAAAAAACAAACAAACAATGTATGGACTCAGTGTAAACAACATTAGTCTGGATCCTGCAGCAGGATGTTAGAGAATAAAACCTTAAAATTCACCTTCTTCTTCTTCTTGGACTTGCTCTTGCGGTCGGAGTCTGAAGAACTCTCACTGGTCTCGATGAACTCTTTGCTCTTGAAGCTGTCGTTGCCTCCGCCTCTGTCTCTATCCTTGTCTCCACCGGACGACTTCCTCTTTGTCTCCTTTTTCACTGCAGATTTCTTATTGTCCCTGAAGAAACGGGAGGTGAAACAAAGGATCGAACGCTTTTCGCATTTAAACAAAGACGACGAGAAATAAATAAATTAAACAGGATATTTTGGTTCTCACTTCTTGGAACTGGACGTGGCTCCACCTCCACTCTCCTTGTACTCCTTCTTCGCCAGGTCGTACTGCTTCTTAGCCTCTCCTGCCTTTGCTTCCCACACCTACAGAGATAATAGAGAGTAAGGAAAAAAAACCTCCAAACTCCTGCAAATAGCACGGCATCTATATCTACAGCAGACATAAAGTAAAATGATAAAAACATTTTCATTCCTAAAGTCTCACCTCCTTGTCATCTTTTCCCAGTTCCCTCCACATTTCTCCAGCCCTCTTGGAAATCCCTGTGATGGAGATTCCAGGATTCTCTGACCTGATGCGTTCACGATTGGAGTTCAACCACAGCATGTAGGCACTCATTGGCCTCTTGGGGCCGCCAGTGTCTTTCTGCTTCTTCTGTTCAGATAGAACAAGGGAAAAGCCAATCAAGTGTAAGTGGTCTGATTTAAAAAAAACAAAAACCCCCAAAACTCCACCCTTATATCATCTTACCTCTTTCCGTGGTTTCCTTTCTTTTCTCTCCTTCACCACTTTAACCTTTTTGGCCTTTTTCTTTTTGGCACCCTCATCTTCACTGCCCTCTCCTTCCTCACTGCTGCTGCTGGCTGAGGCATTGCTGTCGTATCTAAAAGCAGAAGAAAAAGGGTGGAAACTTCTTTTAATTTTTTTTTCTTCACCAAGCATACTTTGGACAGACAGGTTTTGAGAGTGCTTCTCACTCTTCTGCAATGTCATCTTCCTCTTCTCCAGGGTTGAACGACTCGTCTAAAGTTAAATACAACAGAAAAGACCACAAATTAAAACTGATCTTCTAACACCGACCAAGATTCACCACCGGAGCAGTGAAAAGAGGCTTTCTCACCGCTTTCGCCGTCAGACTCGTCACTGTCGTTGCCCTCCTCTCTGATCTTGCCCTCGGCCTTCATCCTCTCCAGGTAGGCGTCGTGCTTGTCTTCGTCGGAGTCGCTGTATTCGTCGATCTTACCCTTCATGCCCTGGAAACACACTGCACTGTCAACGAAACGGCAGCCACGAAACTCCAGAGACTGAAGAGTCGACATTTCCTCAACGTAGACTTTGATTTGTAATCGCCACAAGTTAAAAAGGATCAACACGACATGCATCTGCCCCCGAATCACAAAGCAAACAGGTGCGTGTCACAGAATCCTGAGTCTGTTTCATACGACCAACTGTACGTCTTATTCCAGTCAAACAGTCGGTTGGTCCATCCAAGTGGAGACTAAACTGAACTCATGAGCTTTTCTAACCCTGTCATCTTTTAACAATTGCCCGACCTAACAAAAATGTATACATAAAAAAAAAATTATTACTACACTTGGTAAAAATGGCAAAAATTTCTGAACTGTTATTGAAATAATAAACAAATTATAAAGAAGAGTTTGTGATTTGTAGACGCAGTGTTTCCTGATCTCATCTGCGCTCAACAATTTGTGTCTGACTCTAAAACACTAAAAGAGAACGATGGTGAGACTCGTCCACCGTCTGTGACCTGCTCTGCTGATCCTGTCGTCACAGATGGCCTGCGACTGCGTTGACAGTGAGCGCGTGCTCTGGCCGTGATGTCAGAGAAACCACTCGTGTTCATCAAGAGAATGCACTCTGGGTAATGCAATCAGCATTGTCCGTGTCGGGCCGCGGTGGTGTTGACAGCTGAGTGAAGTGTTAGCACTCACCAGAACCAGAAGCCCCCAGGCCGCACATTAGTCAGCACAATGCAAACAGACCAGCACACGGTTCAATTATCAGTCACATACTCCAAAACCCCCACTGACCCACGATTAGTGATCAATCAGCCCAGACTGGTCTGTGTTGATACAGAGGGATGTCCTGCTTCAGTGAACTGATGTCAATCACCAACAGGGACCAGGTCCAATCACAGATTAAATTTTGGTTTAAGGGAATTTTTTTTCATTTTCATTTGGGAAAATAAGAAATTTTGACATTTTTTGTATTCTTATTTTTAAATACATATAGATACATAAATATATATTACAGCTAAGATCTATTCAATTTATTTTTTTTACATAATTGTCATTTATTTTTTAGATAAACAAATTTTATTTTTTCATTTTAAATAAATTGTTTACACGGAAGAAAGATAGAAATGACGTATCTCTATCTATGACTCGCACTGCAGATCCAAAACTTTAAATTGGGGTCAGGACATCCCTTATTAGTTAGATCATTAGACCATAACCAGATCATTGGACGCAATTTTTAAGAAGACAAACACACATCAGCAGAACACCATGCAGGCAGAAAAAGAGAGAGAGAGAGAGAGAGAGAGAGAGCAAGAGAAACAGAGAGAACGAGAGAAAGAAAGAAAGAGAGAGAGAGAGAGAACTCCACGTCAAAAATCATGTGTCTAATCCACACCCATGACCCAATACCCACCTTCTTCTACGGGGTAAAAGGACATACAGACACAGGAGAAGGGCAACAACTGTCAATATGTGTGAATCTGTGGATGTCAATGAGAGGTGAAATGTCTTAACACAGGGGAGAGAGAGAATGAAAAGAAAAGTGTTACCTCTTTGAAACCTCGGTTCTTAATGTTGAGCTTCTTGGCGTTGACAAAGTCAAACAGTTTTCCATATTCCTCTCTGAAGGAAAGAAGACAGAGTATGTGAGGGTGAAAAAAAATAAAAAATAAAAATGCAGCGCTAACCGCTACTTGATGAATCCACTTTGAAAACTCATGGTTACACAGTAAATTGTACCAAATGTCCTGTGCTATGTAATTAACAGCAAAGTCAGGCTGCCAAAACACCCCTTAAGTCTGTCCAATTGGTTTCAAATTTTAAATTTTTAAGTAACAGACTGGCAAATGTCAAGAACTTTGGTTACAGGAAGTGGAGAGAGACGCCAACTCAGCACAAGTCTGCTTAGAAAACAGCTCTCCTCACCTCTCAATGCTGCTGAAGGTGTACTGATTCCCCTGTTTGGTCTCGATCTCAAAGTCAAAAGAACGCGTCGTGGTGGTGCCTCTGGCGAAGTTGACACAGGAGATCTCCTCGAACCGTAGGTGCACAGGAGGCTTGTGGACATAGATGAAGCCTCGCTCCAGCGGATAGAGGAGGCCGGAGGAGGCTTTGTAGGAGCAAGTGATGCACTGAGTCCCGGAGTGACTGTAGGAAATATGAAGTACGTTAAAAAGAGATTAGGTCAAATAAATTGTCAGCTATCGTTTCAGTTAAAGGTGCTCACCCCTGGAAGTTTCCAGGCACAGTGATCTTGCGGTTGACCAGTGCCTTCATCACCCTGCTGACCATCTCATACAGTGAACCTGACATGTTTTTACTGAGTTTGCCTTCAAAACGACGTTCCACGTCCTCCCTGATAAAAGAGGAGAATGGACAGGATTAGTTTCTGATTTTTTTTGTTTAAGTATTTGTGATGAAAATGCCATGAAATCACGGAAAGTTTGTTTTGCTACAGAAAAGTTTTCTACTTCAGCGCTTTGTCGACCTCTAGCGGGTCAATGCTGTCTGAGCATAAACTAAACGCGTCGGTGGGTCAGTGCTCACTCGCTCATGTTTAGCGTCAGGTTGATGTCCTCCTCTTTGGAGAAGAGAAGAATCAGGAAGTGATAACGTGTCTGACCCTGCTTGATGGGTGGATCCAGGCTGATCTGTTAATTCAACAACAAATACAAAGCTATTGTATTTTTTTATTTTAAAAAGTATGAAAACAACATTAGGAGAAATAGACTTGAATTTGGTTTAGACAGTGAATTAATTCAAAAATGAAACAATAAAAATCCTCTCACCACAAAGAACATCTGCCTCTGGTCCTTGTGTGGCAGCAGGAAGAGACGCAGGACGGGGGGGTAGGGAATCTTGTAGTCAAAGGTTTTACCGTGAAGGTGGAGGAAGGTCGGGTAGATGCGGATGTCGTATCTGTTGGAGAGATGTTGTGTTATTTAAAGGTCGACTTTCACGCGTAAGAAAGGATATAAATAAGGAAGTAGTAGAAGTGTTTTTTTTCTCCAAATCTCTTACCTTCCTCTGGGTGTTTTAAGTGTTTTTTTTCCAAATCTCTTACCTTCCTCTGGGTGTGAGACACTGCAGTTCTTTGAAGATACAAACAGCGTCTCCTGTGGCCTGGATGACATCGGCCTTGGACAACACATTCTGGGCGAATGCCTGCAGGGAAACATATTATTTAGCTTTAGAAAGGTAAAAAAAATAAAAACAACTAAATGGAGAAAGACTTGCTGGAGGTGAATCCTTACTTCTACAGGGTCTGATCGCTCGTCTGTCTGGTTCGGTGGGACGTAGAATCTGACCTCCATGAGCGACACCTCAGTGTCATCGTTCTGGTGGAACTCCAGAGTGACTTCATTCTTCCCCGTGGCACACTGGGACACGTTGGAGAGTGGGATCTCAAATGCACTATTGTCATTTACGTCGAACGATAACAGAGGCCCTGGGATGAGGAAGAGATTTTATTCATTTATTTGTCTTTTTTTTTTCCTCTTTCTCACTGTGTGAAATGAATTCACTTGCTGGAGTTGTTCTTATGCGTCATGTTCTGACCTGAGAACTTGGCTGTTCCCCAGTTCCAGCCTTTCACACACATGTCCTTCTCCGTCAGCTCCAGCTTATAGTTTGTCTTGAAAAATTCCGAGATCTTCTCAAAGTCCTGGTCGAGGACGGAGGGACGGGGACGAAATAGAATAGGGAAGGAAATAAAAGAAGAAGGAGGTCAGACTTGCCGTGTCAGTAAATGCACCGACACTGCCTGGGTCAAAGCTTAGCAAAACTCCCTGCGAGCGCGAGGGGATTGAGGGTTAATTAATCACTAGGCAATTACAACTACGCCTGCTGCTGCAGCCTCCTGGGAAGAGTGGAGGTGAATGTAATCCATCCTCCTGCTCCGTCCTCTGACTCTGACAATCAGACTGTTTATTTATCCTGCAGGCTCACTTACAACTGGAGAAAGGAGCCGTTCTCACACACAGTGACAAACACATGGTCAATCACACACACACACACTCAACACTCTTACACACACTGTTGTGGTGATGCCCAACATGTGGAAATGATTGCAGTGCATAAGTGTGTTTGAGAGACTTTGTGGGAAATAGGAGTTTACACACCTGGACATTTGACTTCACGTCAGGTTATTAAGGACAATTAGAGCAGCAGAATCCATATCTGTATATATGTATTTGTATGTGTGAGAGAAAAAGAGAGAGAGAGTTCACTAGTGTATTATCCTGGATTAAGGTATTATAGAAACAGGAGAACATGTGTGAGCAGATGTGTAACTGCAGGAAATCAGACTTGTGCAAAAAAGGCCCGATGGTGTCGACTGCATGTGTGCGCATGTACAGTATGTGTGCGTCCTGGAGTGTCCTCAGCAGGCACTCTATTCTGTGTGCCGTCTCTACATGTTCCTACGCTGCAGTTCGATATGTTTCTTCTCCCACTGTTGTCGTCTAATGTCATTAAAAGCGCCCATATCAGTCACATTTAATGAATGTGTAGAGTTTGATTAAAACACTGTTTTCTTTTCCGTGTGCAGCACAGTGCTGCAAGCAATTATACTTTTTCTCTTTTTACAACCAGTGATTATGTGTTGGTCATTTCTTCAACCAGTGATTAGTCTGTTGTTCAACAAAATGCACAAGGAAATGAAAAATCTGGTACCATTTTCCCACATTTTAAAATGATGTCTTAAAACACTGGTTTTGTGAAGAAAATATTTAGATATCGTCATAGGAACCGGAACAAAACTAAATTAAAAAGCAAACAAATCAAATGAACTTATTTACTAACATAATAAAGTTGATAAATTAGGACATTTTTCTTGTCGTTTTCTTGCAACAGTATTGGCTGTCATTTTATTTATTTTCATCTATTCTTTTCTATGACATGCAGTATGTCATTATGTCTTGTGTTGTTTAAACTGAAACACACGTTTGGGGGACAAACAGAGACAGAGACAATGTTTTCAATAATCAAATGACACCGAGAAACAATACTAGATTTATATACCACTCGATCAATAGATTGTAGCCGCGTTTACTCCAAGGAACTCAGAAGAAACTACACAGTTTGTTGATTACAACGTCTGCCGCTGCTTCCGCCACAGCACCACTGAGTTCCGTCTGTTCAGCGTTTGTCTGCTTCAGTTTCCTGATTCTGACAAACAGATGATGACCACACAGACATTTGGCTTCACTTTAAAGGACTCTTAATTATGTGTGTTGAAAAAGTGCAAGTAAGAGCATTACTTCATTGGCTAATGCCTAGCTGAGCCCAGAGAGCAAAGAGGAAGAGAAAGGTTACTGTAGCTGAATCTACTGTAAAAGGCAGATTTTTAAGAGTGTGTGACTGATTGATTTCTATGCACAGAAGAGAGAAAAACATCAACAGATCAAATGTCAACATTGGACAAGAGTACAAGAGGCGCTCTGATGACAAAGCCATCAACTATATTGACAAAGATCTCAAAACAACTACAAAACTGAAAAATGTGGTAATATTTTTTCTTCTGTAAAACAGTGTGTCCTGGGCTGTTCGATGACGGAAGATGATTGTAAATTAGATTCTTTGCTTACTGTGACCACCAACAGAATACAGAAGAACGTTTAGCCGCCAAATGTGGAAAAGTGCACGGAAAAATGTCTACAATCAAGCAAAACAATTCTAAAATGGAAACACTGGTCCCTTCAATGGAAACACAAAGCACAGTTCTTGTTCTGTTCCTAAATTCACCTCACTAGATTCTGTGCTGGAAACAAAATGTTGGTCTTTAAACCCATGTTCGACCTTGTTTGATTTCAGTGTTTCCTGTAGAAAAGAAAAAGCTGAGCTGTCATTAAAATGCAATATCAACAGCAGTTGTGTATATTTAAGACTTTAAATCAGTGGAAACAATGTCAAAAAAATTAGACTTTTCTACAACAGTAATAAATGACGGTGACATAACATTGTCCAACTGACTGAGCTTCAGCTTCTCGTTCGAAGATGCTGCAGAAGGAAGGATAATTGAACACTATGTATGCTGGGTTCAACAGCGACTACACCTCCAGCCAACTCTCGATTACTGACACTGGCTGTCTGATTATAAACAATGACATCACAGCCTGCACTGTGGGACAAGAGGATCCATCTCCACAGAAGAATTTGCTGATTAACCCCAGGAGACGTTGCCTCTCACAGCACAAAGTCCAGATTCTACCCACTCCAGTGGAGCAGTCCTTCACTGGTGTGCTGACATTCCCCATTCACTCAAAGCAGCGGCGATAAAACAACAAACATGACCACAATTTTTTTCCCTCGTCTGTCTTTGGAGCCAAATTGTTTCAATGGATTGATATAAACACTGACTCACTTGGGCCGATGATTACAATGTTTATGGAACACACATGCTCGTGCTGGTTTCCCTCATTAATCCCATTAGGAGCTTTGGGGAGAAGAGGCAGCTCATTCACATACTTTTGACAGAAACCCACACGCACGTACGTAAGTGGCGCCCTTTTCGCAAGATGGAAGCGTTTTTCGTGGAAATGTCAGATGTGGGGTGGAAGCGGTCGCTTTGCGTGTGTTTCACTGTGTGTCGTAAACATAGCGCTGAGGGGGAAAAACAGTCTGTAATATTCCACTGCTGCCTGACATTTCTACAGTTTTTACTGCAGAGCCACAAATTACCAGATTTTACAGAGCCTTCTTCTTTTCAGTTCGGAGAATGTGGAAAACACTCACCGTGTCTCTGAAGCCGTCATATTTGTAGACGTTTCCTGTGCTGGTGCCCAGTTTGATGCCGTGACCTAGACACACTCGTCTCCACTGGGCCAGGTTGAGGTCACCAGCAGAGATGCTGTCCACCTTTCCTGTTTTACTGCTTTTATAAACCACGTTCTGTTTGCTGAATCGCAGACGCCCATCATTCTGCAGCAGCAAAGAGAAACACAATCCGTTATAATGACATTACATTTTAAAACAGCACTATGGTCTGTACAGGTTCCAGTGTTTCTTGACTCTGACAAGATGTGTTATGACATTATACATTGCAATTCAATAGTGAGTATAATAATAAAAAAACTGGAAAGTTGACTATAAAATAGGCAAATCATAAACAAGCAAAGACACAGAGAGTTGCAGAAGTTAAATTATTGAATGTGGATTTTGTAATACATGGTCATGAATGTAATAGCTTTTTTAAAATATTCTTTATTAGCTCATTATTGCTAAGTTATTAAAATATGGATATTATATCAACATTAAAAATAATAATCACTATTAACTGTATTATTTGCTGCTGTACTCGAGTGAATTTTTGCATTTTGATTGCTGCAGTCGTATGGAACAAAAACTTCTTGTATGAACCATGCAGATTTTCAGGATATAAATCTGCCTGTTATTCGTATTGCTTTTTCTTTGTTACCTTATTATGTCAACTACAAAACACCGGAATATACAAACCCATGAGCCTTTAACCTCCTGGTATATTTCATTGAACTCCAGTGTGTCTCCCATTTTGGCTCCAGGCGACGACTGGTGATCTACAGTCAGACAGACAAAAGACAATACATTAAACTCTACAATTTTTAAATTTTAAAACTTTTCAAGTTAAGTTTTAAGATAAAAGGCATTTAAATATTATTTAATAAGAAGTACTACTTAACGCCATTATGATGTTCTTATTATTTAATTTCTTTTTGTTGCCAAATTAAATAACAATAAAGTAGTGCAGCTGTGCACGTAATTATCGAGGCAAACACGTAGTGAAGAAACATTGTGAACATATTAGACAAAGGATTTTGCAAAAAGCCTGGCTAGCTGCAGGGAAATGCATAACCAATTTGACATCGTGCATGGATTTAAAAAGTGAAACCAACGTGTTAAATTAATTTGACTCGTTTTCATAGCGCTAACGTATTTACAAAAATGCTTTTTTGTTAAAACTGTAAATAAAACTGTTGATCCGCTTTATAAAGACGCCAAACGACAAATTACGACTACTTAAAGTCATCTTTACAGTCATTATTTATTAATACGCGGCCAACGTCGACCTGAGCTCAAACAGGGAGGATTTATTTTCTGGTATTTATTAAAATCGATGAAGCGCCATTATGCATTGCTAAGCTAACGTGTTGTGAGTCGAATGCGTTTCTTTTATTGCACCATGTCTCGCTGTGTGATGTACAGAGCAATGCCCAACGAAAGTGCCGCCCTGCTCAGACACAGTGTACGTTAAATCGAACACTTCTCTCTCAACAAGGCCGGTGTATAAAACTAAAGCCATATTCAGAGTTAATTTTGTCAACAAAAGAAAACTAAATTAGATACATAAGCAACAACCCTGTAATAGAAGTTTTTAAGCTTTGACAAAAAGTTTCTGAATGGAAGATAAACAAACGAATAATAGTTTAAACGTCTTACTCAAAATGTGATGCTCAGCTTTGCCTGTTTCCCGCGTGTAGCATCCAGAGCTAGTGCTACGTCACAGGAAGTTGTCATTGATGTGTATTAACTTCCGCCAAGTCAGAACGTCTTTATTTATTTTGTTAAATCTACATATTTATAGACATACACGTAATGTTAGTGTAATAAATAAAACGCAGATTTGTTATTTACCCTTATTTGAAATTGTACTGTTGATTTTTAGGTGACTTCTGAGTCTGAGTTGGGCAAAAATGGGTGCAGGGATCAGTATTTGCCACTAGATGTCACGCAATGTGTTTCAGCAACGTATTGTGCCGCAGAATGCGTTTGAATGACGTTTCAACGTCACGATCGTATTGAACGTAAAGAACACAGTTACGTAAGGGGATTCGCACTAGAAGTATAATATATAAGTGATAAATCCGCACAATAGATATTAATATTTCAATTTATATTATTTTGCATCGATCTAACTGTAGAGATGTGTCTGCATTAAATAATTGTAAATAAAATCACCCTCATTTGAAGTTGAGACAGTAGCATAATTTAAAGCCATATCCACATCAATGGCTTAAAAACACAATGTGGAATTAAAACATTTAGAAGCAAAACGAACGGATTCCATTGATAACATAGGGGAAAACTCTTTCTCAATTAAATATTTTATTAAATTGCTCACGTAGCACCTTCTTGTTTATTTTTGTTTATTTTAATCTATCATCAATTTAATTGATTGATGTGATTTGTTTCTTTGTTTATTTATTTCATACATTTCTTTCTTTCATACTTTCGTCCTATAATTCGTCCTCTCTCCTTTTCTTTTTCATTTTCCGTTCGTCTTGTCTTTTCTTTTTTTTCCTTTTCATTATTTTTTTTTCTTAAGCAAGCGGAGTTCACCCAATAACATCCCAATAGTGGTACACTTCTGTGGAAATTATGATTGACAGCTGAAGGTGAAAAGAGAAGATTAACTATAATCCCTTGTCAATTAAAAAACAGTGGAATGAGGGCAGAGGAAAGAAACACCACAAAACAGGCAAACACTTGTCTTTATTACCATCTCTCTTTCTGGGAAACAGAGGCAGAGCCGGAGACAATATAACAGGAACGGATTCTTTCTACACAGCCGCGCAATTAACGAGATGCGCTGAATGTATAAGGTTTTCTGCTGCCCCGGGCTTGAATGGAATTGTTGTCAAATATTTTTTTATCACTATCAAATTTAACAAAACAAAATTGTTTTTGTAATGTTGGTGTTTTGGTTTAGTTTAACGTCGATGTTATACTAATATATAATGACTATTTGGGCCTTCCGTGGCGCAAATAGGACGTTTGTTATTCATTTCACTTATTTTAAAGACTGGATTAAAAAGATATATGTAATAATTAAATAAATAAAATAAATTAACTTTTCGCAAGTACAAAAAATGATCTGGCAACAGATGAAGCATTCATGTTGCCATGGATGAGGGTGAGGGTCTCAGGGTTGCCAGGTCTGTCCGGCCTGAAGCCGCAGAGCCGCCACAGTCGATTAATCATGAACCGAAATCCGATTAAAGATCAAAAAGTGCGCAGGCAGATCCAGTTCGCAGTTTCAGGAAGACGGATATGAGTTTGAACACATCCCGTGCTTCACCGCTCTTGAGCCGCTCGCAGTTGCGATGCGTCAACCTGGTGAATCACCACCAACCTCATCAGCAGGAGAAACGCCGAGGAGGAACAGGAGGAGGAGGACAGAGGAAGATGGAGAGACAGGGGCAGAATAAAAGGAGAAGGAGGAGGAGGAAGAAACCAAAAGCCTGCGCCGTCAGTCAGTCTGTCACAGACCACACACACCAGCAGCCAGAAAAGCAGCGGAGCGTCAAGATTTAAGCTCCATCCTGTGACCACCATCCTCCTGCTGCTGCTCCTCATACCTCCGAGGAGACTTAACAACTCTAATCATCATCATCGTCGTCGTCATCAGAGGATTAACTTTTCATCATCACAGTCGTCTGAGGGCAGCGGATCTCATCTGAGCCGATGAAAAGTTTGTGGGTTTTTTCCGTTTCTTTTTTTTGTAAATAAGAGTAACAGACAGCGATCTGATCCAGAGACGGAAGAAACCATCTGAGCAGTGGATGTGAACTTCTGAGAGCGCACTGAAGGGAATTAAAGGACCTGGAGAAAATGATAACGCTGTGCAGAGGTGAGAAGAAGAAAAAAGTAAAACTATAACCGCACTATATATTTTAAAAATCATTATTTCGGTTTATTTAAAAAACTGTAAATATTATAAAATAAGAAAAAGCGCATCTTGCAGTCACTGTCAGTGTATGGGTTTGTGTTTTTAAATATTTACACTAATAATTCCTGATAAAAACATATGGGGCTGAACATTAGACTCTTTATTCTTTTTAATGACGACAATTAATATTTAATTATTTGATATGTCATTCTTGTTTATGTATTAGTGCTAAATGCTAATGTATAAACAATTCGTTTTTAATTATTATCAATAATTGTTTGTTGTATTTGTTTCAAAATATGAAAGTAATCAGCAAAGAAGTTTAATTTTATATATATTTCAGTTTGTTTAAGAAATATGTATGAGTTATTAGAAAAGGGTCTTTAAAAGTGTGTGTGTGTGTGTGTGTCACTGTGTTTTGACACTGTTTTCTCACTATTTCAAACAATTTGTACATTTTACAGATTTTTAAATTTCTAATCATTTTGCATTCTCACTTCAAACCAAACTGTTGATCTCATTTGTGTGTCACTGGTTGAACTTGGTATTTGGATGAAATGTGTTGAACTGAAGTAAAGTGTGAATGGACATCAGCGCACAGTCCTGACACAGTCCTGTTTTGGTGCAGGTTCATTTTGGTGACCTGTTCAGGACTGTTCCTGGCTTTGTTCCTGATTTCTTTTTTCAGGTCTAGTGGTCCACATGGGGACCAGCACCTGGTCCTAATGAGGAAGAACCCAACTACTGAGGCTCTGGTTAATGTTAGATTAAAGGTGTGAGGTGGTCGAGGGCCACGTGTGGCAGGTTTACCAGCTTAACTTTTGCCCAGACAAAATGGATATGAGCATGTGTGATAAGAGATGAACAAGAAAACATGTCAAAAATGTCACAAATATCAAAGTGAAAAAAATGGCCGCCAACAATCGTGTGCTCGTACACTGCAGTGTTGAACCACAAGCCACTAATAGCTGAAGAAGAAGAATAAGCTTTATTGGTCGTTGTACGCGAACATACAGATAAACACACACAATGAAAATTGTTCTCGGTATTCAACCCATCCCTGGGAAGCAGTGGGCGCTTAAGGAGCGAGGGAATTTTTGGTGCTTGCTCAACAGACCGGAGTTAGGGCGTGATTTGAACCCGCGTTCCTCCGATAAGAAGCCCACTTCTCCTACCATCACGCCATGCGCTACCAGTGTAATTCCACATCTTTTTTTTTACTACTTTAGGTTAACATATGGCAACACTGTGGAAGGTTTGAGTTCCCGATCTGGATAACAGGAACAATAGTAGAAGTAGTACAAGGCCACAAAGACACACAAAGTGCACCATTTGGAATTTCATTCAGTTCATTTTTTCCAGATATATTCATAAATGTGTTGTTATTGTGATTCCTGAAAGAAGTTGGAATTAGTAAATTCAGATTAAGATTAGACATGAATAGATTATGCAGGAGGTTTTGGTGAGGCTGTTAAATGGGAAATAAAAACATCAAGGCAGAGCCTAAACAGAAGAATATGTTCTTCGTATACCTTGCTTTACCTACTCGCAGGGACTTTTTTTTGAGAACACTTAAAGCGTTTGAAGTTTCCGTTTTAGAAGTAGGATTACAATTATGTTCAGATTAGAGTTTATTGAAGGTATACTTAATGGTTAATGTTACAGTAAACGGCTTGGCGAGTTCAGTGAAGTGCACGCAAAACACAAAAACCACTGTGTGTGTGTGTGTGTGTGTTTCACAGTAAAAATGACAAGAGTTGAAGGGGTCGGAGGCAGCTAAAGCCTCCTGTCTAGTTAGCTGTCACTGATATGAGAAAGTACATGATTCAAGTTAGTCAGGGTGTAAGAGAACACAAACACAAAGACACACACACACACACGTACACACACAGACACACAATCACACAGACTCTCTTCCCCCCTGGGAAGCCTGGTGCGGCTGCTGCTCCATGTCTACCACAGGGGCTGAAAGAAGAAGGGACAGACAGTAGTGAGGGTCTGCTCTGCAATGAAATGATGGAGTGAATATGAGATCACCAACTTCCTCTCTTTCTTCCATCATCTGTCAGCCTTCTCTCATGCTGCCCTGATCCTCCACGGTGAACGGCTGGCTGTATACAAACAGTTCATACTGTAGGGGAATTTCTGAGCACTACTGAACACTACTGAAACCTTTTAGAAAATGAATATATGAGAACCTCAGCTGTGGAGGAACATGTAAAACACACACCATCTCACACACACACACACTGACAAGGTCTGTTATTGTTGGGAGGACTGAATTAGTGTCGGTGTGTTTCAGATAAAAACTGTAGGTGCCTGATAAACCAACCAAGTTCAGGCACTCCAGCCAATAGAAAGTAAATAAATGAAAACGATAGATAGAGAGATAGATAGATAGATAGATATATAGATAGATAGATAGATAGATATATAGATAGATAGATAGATAGAGAGATAGATAGATAGATAGATAGGTAGATGGTGGAGAGACAGAGAGAAAGTATGGAAAGTATGTACAAAAGAGAAGAAGAAGTGAACCATTCACATCCTTTCATTCGTTCAGCACCATCCTCAATTTTTCACAGTGTATAAATGCACACATGTACATGCTTGCACACACACTCAAACACACTCACACTCACACTCACACTCACACACATGGAGGGAGAGAATATTAGAAGGGGAGAAAGACAAATATTAATATATATCCGCATAAATATATTTATACAGAGGATGTCAAGACAACGTGTGTATGGTCAGGGTTAGGGAAGAAAAGAAAGAGTGAGAGAGCGAGCGAGAGAGAGAGATACAGACAGGGAGGGAGAGAGAGGATTTGGTGGTAGAGGGGTTAATGCAGTGCAGATTGACAGAAGCTAGCAGCACCCAGAGGGAAGGAGAGAGGAGAGAGAAGGGGGGAATGATATAAAATGAGTCGGTCACGCTTTGAACAGTTACACATGCTGTTTACATTTTTCCCAAATTAACATGGCCCCTCGCTTCAGAAACCCCCACTCTCCTTCCACTAACTCCTTTTCCTCTCCCTCCTTCCTCTCAAATCCTCTCCTCCTCCACCTCCTCCTTCCCTCCGTCTCCTTCCAGGCCCAAATATATTTATTTTTTGCTTACAAGTGAAAGCAGTAATATTGCCCAAACAGATTTCATTGGAAAAGGAGGAGACAGGTGCCCCGAAGCGCCGAAAACAAAAAGCATTCATTATTCAGAAATAATTATTGTTATTATTACGGTGACGTGTTGAAGCCCAATCAGAAGGGACGGACAGGTAACATCATGTGCATCTTTAAGGTTAAGGGAGCATGTACAGAAATAGTCAAATGAACAAATAGACTCATTTATAGTTACAAGAGGCGGAGCCTGTTCTGTCGCCCCTGCACAGTGATAAATAACAAGAGCACCAAACAGCAGACAGCTCATGAAAGACAGACCGCCACGGCTCGAAGCCACAACACACAGAGTAATCCATAATACAAGAGGACATTAGTGTCAGCCAGGAGGCCGTCTCGCCACCAAACTAAGTCATTGAGAAGTAAATTAAAAACTTGAGGTAAGAAAAGTGGGACGAGGAGAGAATGGGGTGGAGCCAATTAGTGCACGGAAGAGATGATGAGCGGAATTGGAGAGAGACAGGAAGTGAGGAACTTTAAAATAGGAAGTGTTTCAGAATGACTCAGGGGAGGAGATGGGAGGGGGGGGAGCGGGGCAGATAAAGGGACAACAAAATTGAAGCCAAACAAGGCGATAAACTATAGCGCGAGTGGAATCCACAGATTAAAAAAAACAAAAAACAGGCAGGAATAGATTGGCTTATAAGGTGAGGAGAGAGAGGACAAAGAAAAAAAGGGGGGAGAGACAGAGAGGGAGAGGGGGAAAAGGGGACAAAGAGTTCACAAAGAGACAAGATCACGGACGATAAATGTGTGTTTTCTTTTCATACTGAGATCCAGTATGAACCAAAAAGTGCAGAGGATGTCACTATATGTGTGTTTCCTGAGTACACAATGGTCTGTTTATAGGAATTTATTCAGTATAACGTTTGTGCATACATGAATCTCCTCCAGCGCACAATCTGGACGCATATGTGTGCATGTGTGTGTACGAGTGTGCACGTTTGTGTGTGTTGAGTTAGTGAAGGAATGCACATTTGATTGAGTGCAGACTGCACATAAATCTGGTCTGTAAGTGTACACAGACTCACAACACCGACCCTGACCTCGGACTGTCAAAGCCATCCACCTTCTCTCACCTCCAAACTCACCCTCACTCACCTCCGCTCACCTGCAGCCCGGGGTGTGTCTCTATCAGTGTCTGTGTAACTCTATGCTCACATCAGTTAATTTGGCCCGTGGCCCGTCCTGCACAGGTGTGTTTTGTTTAGGGTAAGTGTCATGTCAGAAAAGTACATTTGTCACTTGGTCTGGTGCGAGACAATTATTAAAAACAAAGCAGGAAGCATCTCGTCAGGGATTGTTTTTGACATGACTTTTCCTTTTAGCAAAGCCACATTGAGTTGCACTGCCTCCGTTGTGGTAACAGCACGACTGTAGACGAGGCGGGTGACCAGGGTACGTTCAAAGAATGAAACATGAATATCAATTTAAAACACAGGGCAATTTAATAACACTTTAAAGTAACAGTACAAAGACTGACCGAAGTTTCTCTTCTTGTGAAATGCTAATATGAGTTGATACATTTCGTCATATTGGTTTTGTGATCTGTAAGCAATAATATCTGAAGGTGGCATTTAAATTCTCATATTGTCAGGTAGCAAAGACAGTCGACCATAACATAAAGGTATTGGTGATAAATATCCAGTTAAGCTTTCCCGTCAAAAGGCAACTGTAATTGAAAGGAAACCCACTTAGTAAATAAAGTTAAAACATCATAAAAATAGCATAGAAATAGCTATAAGTCAGAAAGAGCTATAATAAAACTACCCCAAA